CTTTCCCATTTCCAATAATTCCTGTTTCTTCACAAGTCTTAATTGTCTGGCAAACATCAAACTCCTATGTAACTGAGGTTTTGTCACCTAGACCTTCAGCCTGTCACACATGATTAGGGTGGGTCTGTCCTCTGTGTGCCTTATTGGCACATACATTTTTGGAGGGTCCCAGGACTTGTGACAAGAACACCTGGTTCCAGTCACAGATGGGGGCTAAACAGCATGTGGCTCCTTATCCTATATGGTGAAGCATGAGACTTTTGACTCTGGATTAATACTGAGCACAGTTTGTATTATGTGTAAGTAGATACAAAAGTAGTGCTCAGAAGTGTTTATGGAGTACCTGTAATGAAGTTTGCAGTAGTCAGGGCTGGGGTCCAGAGTTAGACCCACAGCAGTTTCCTGTTTCCCTCTGCAATTTCTGCCCTTGTGCCCCACACTTTTCTTTCACATGCAGCTCACTTCCACACTGTGCCTGGAAAAAGAACAGAGCCTGAACAGGGTCTGACAGTAAAGGTGGCCAGGAAGGTTGCAGCGGGGGGGAAGAAGTTGGGGAGGTCAGTAGCCCACTTAACTCCTTTCCCCCAGCCACTATTTTCCCTGCTGTAGTAGCAGGAGGGAGATGAATTCAAGACAATACTCCAATAATTAGATTCTACACCTGGAAAATGATAACAAATTTATAAGTTTTCCATATATAGAATCTAATTATTTGGGAGGTTCTCTTATATTCAGGGTCATCTTGTATTCAAGTAAATATGGTAGACCATTTCCTTAGCATCCAAGTGCCACTTCACAAGGCTCTGGACTCATGAATGCTTTTCATGAACCCAGCTGCCAGAACATTATTAATAAAAAAGTAAGGTGTTCCTGTTTTCATCAAATTCAACTTAAGAAAGGAGGTAAGTATTATCTCTGTTTCAAAGATGGAGAAATTTAGGCAGGTTCTTCATTTTTCTGTCTAAGGTCACCCAGCATGCAAGCAGCAGAGCCAGGAACAAAACCCTGGGTTCTCTATTCTATCTACAAAGTCACATTGCCTCCCATAACCAGTTCATAGAAGAAAAGTGGTACCTATTAATATTTCATTTTTAATCAAATCTAGAATCCTAGCAGAACGTTTTTCTGAAATCCATCAAATTACCAATAACCTTCTCAGGGTACCAATAACCCTTCCTTTCATACTGTCTTTTTCCATAGCTTGGTAACCAGAGCAAACTAATTCGGAAGAAGCTGATCAGCCGCTGCTTTCCTCTTGGTTACTTTGACTGTAGTAAAACTTGGGCACTTTAAAATTAATATCTTACTGTGAAAAAAGCAAGGTAGATTTCCACCTTATAAACTAGTCAAAGTAGAGATACAGTATATGTAGCACAAGCTTTCATGAGCTGAAGTTCACTTCATCAGAGTTGCAGCTCACAAAAGCTTGTGCTGTTTATACATAAGACATTAAAACAAGCATTATATATATACATACCTTAGGAATTGGTTAAAGTTACTTGACTTCAGACTAACATGCCTAACTACATCTTTCAGTTCAGAAAGATCATACAAGATACTCATTCATTACTGAATTGTACTCTGAATACCTATTTGTTTACTCTCCATTAACTTAAATCTATGTCCCTGCTCAATCACCTAGTTCGTTCAGGACTATTTTATATGCAATGGCTTCAAGTATAATAGAAAGCTTTTTGCCCACTGACTTATGGTGAGGACTTCTTGTGGATGGATGTGTCCATGGCTGATGCCCTGCCTGACAGCAATCATCATAAGCAGGACATACTTTGTATTTCTCTCTTAATGACAAAAGAGCTTTATTAACAATAGATTATGTCCCCTTTGCGTTCCTACATCCATCTTTTCCTCTTATACTAAAAAGATTTGCTAGCGCTATCCTATCTGCTAATTCTTCTGAAACATCTCCTCAACCAGCCTGTTTTCAACTTCTCTAGCTCCAATATCATCTCACCTGGGATTCTGATGGTATCTCCCCTGGGGGACTGATCCAAAGATATCAAGAGGGTAACTGAAACTAAGACATCATTATTATTCTCCAGAGTGCTGTGTGCAAGGGGGGGGGACGGATGCAATTTATGTAGAGACACCTGACTCACTGCATGAAAGCACAGTTAATAATTCCATTCGTTTCTCGATGTCTTAATGACAAATGAGGTCTAGTTTAATCAGGATTATCTCTGAAAGCATCCTCCCTTCTGCAAAATTAAACTCAGAGGCTGCATCTACACATGTACTTTACTGCAGAGTAAACTAATTAGCTGTGGAGGAAAGTGTTACCATCTACATGTGTGACAGTATTAGGCTGCAGTAAACTAATTTACATCACAGTAAGATAGCACTGTTGGGGACAGTACTATCTTAGGCCAGGATAATTTACTGCCATTAAACATGCCGTTAAATGTTGACCACAGGCATAAATTGTGCCCAGTTAGCCCAGGCAGCAGGGGCCAGACTTCTGCCTGCCACCTAGCCACACAACTCAGCACTTTCAGCACCCTCATACCCCAGCCAACTCCTCTGCCACCTGACAGCTACCACCTGGAGCCTGGGATAGAGCAGGACAGGAGCACCCCTTGGATAAACTGTTCCACTCCGCTCAAATTGCTGCTGTCCTGGGCGCTTGTATAGACCCTGCAACTGGGAGTAATTTACTATGGCTCAAACTGCTCCAGAGTTTATTGCTCTGAATTAACCGCATGTGCAGACGCACCCAGAACGTGGTATTCTGTGAAGAAAACTATTTGGCTACATTTACTTCATGACCATGAGATTTGAAAACTGCAAGACGAGCAACATTAAACTCACTTGTTCACTGCAGAGTATCTTTCTTAGGTATGCAACTGGAATCAATATATATCCACAGAGCTTGGATGCTGAAAATGATTGTGTGTTGCAACAAGACTGAAAACCTCAGGATGTCAGAATTTAATAGAAATACATCCACCTCTATTATATCCACTGCCCTTATTAAAAGCATTAGAACAGGGTGGACAACTTCCATTTTGATCATGAGAAAGTATGGCTGGAAAGGACCTCACAATGCTTTGAGTACCTGCTTAGAAATTTAAGGATGAAATACAGCCTGGCTCCACTTATATTTCTTGGACACCATGAGAAATTCAACATAAATATTAGAATCTCATGCCAGGAACTGGCTCTACAGTGACAACATTAAAGATAAGTCTTCTCATAATTCCTTTTTATTGCATTCAATGGGATCGGTGACTGAACATATTTTAGTTTTGAACAATCCCCTTATATAACTTCAAATGGGTGAATGCAAATGATTCTGGATTTCCACTCTTGCAAGAGTAGGAGAAAGGGAGCAGTCAGACATTCTTGATGTCAGTGGCTGGTTGGAGATGTGTACTTTTTAAAAAAAGCTTCTCTGAAAGCATTTCTCTACCGACAGATACCGAGGTGAGTCCCTGAAAAAGAACAAAGATAAAGGATTTATTTTTTTACCTTCACTGAATCAAAGAATTCAAGATGGAAAAATCCACTGGATTATTTTATTTATTCGCTATCCAGTGCAGCATTGTTACCTATTGCACATCTGTCAATCCTTTATCCAACCTTGTTTTAAGAATCCAACAATTTCATTACTACTTCCCTTGGTGGCTGTCACGGAGAAATGCTGTCAAAAAAATCTTAGCATACCCAGCATTGGACACACCCAGTAAAAATACTTATATTTCTCTCAATGAGATAGGTGACTATTACAAATATCCTCTTTAGCCCAGCAAAAGTGCTTTGCTTTTCCATAGGGCCTTTCAACCAAGAATGCCAGAAGTACCTACATCCATGAATTACATTTAGCTTTGCAGACAAAGCAGTGAGGTAACCAAGTACTAGTCATATTTTACAAGCAGGAAAACAGATACAACAAGGGCAGTATCATTCATGCAATGTCACCTAGAAAGTTTGTGGAAGAATTGAAAGCAGGGCCTGGATCCCAGGAATG